AAATGGAGTAAAAAATATATAAAAAATCAGAGACGCTCCTAACAATACTATAAAATAATATTTTTAAACACCAAAAGACGCTGTATACCTCATCCAAAAGGACGCCTCACATTCACCCACTTTTTTTTTGTATATTTTTATATTAAGTCAAATATAAAATTGCTAATTTGATAATTACAAAAAAGAATAATTGTGAAAAAATAAAAATATCTCGTGTCCTTAGGTTTAAATTATTTTATTTTAAGGATATTTTTGTTATTTAATTTATTATCTATGTTAATTATTTTTTTTATATTTGGTCAAATATCAAATTGGTCATCATTAGTTTAAATTAGAATAATCAAAAAATTTTAAATTATTTTATTTTAAGGATATTTTTTTCATTTTATAATATATGTTAATTTTATTTTTTTTATATTTGGTCACATATCAAATTGGTCATCATTAGCTTAAATTAGAATAATCAAAAAAATATTATAAAAATACCCTAAGATACCAAGTTTATTTATCTGCTTTCAAGAATATTTGGGTTTTTTTTATTGTTCAATCAATATAAAAAAATATTTATTTATCTTTATTCTATTTTGTAATACAAATGAATCATGTAAAAATACTTTAATGCTTTATATAATTGTTTGTAAAGTAACAAAAACATCATTATATTATTCAATCGAACAATAATATAAAAAAATATTTTTTTTTATTTTTATTCTATTCTGTAATATAAATGAATCATGTAAAAATACTTTAATGCTTTATATAATTGTTTTAATGTTCAATTATATTATTCAATCAAACAACAATAATGGTCTGGAGCTCAGGTTTGATCAGTTTTTTTATTTAATTTAATGTTCTTCTTCCGCTGATCAGAGGTACATTTACACACCTGCATTCACATAACCTAAGGCATGTGTGCGCACATCGTAATAATATATAAAAACCATTGAAGAGTAACACAGCTCGGAAATCATGGGCAGATCTCATCTCATATGAAGAGTTTATTTACAATGCAAGCAACCAACCTACTAGATCGATACATAATTGGGTCTGACTCTGACTCTGACCATTGAGGCCTTGTGTGTTGGGGTTCACTATTTGAGTATTGCAGAAAACTCCATTAATGCATGTGGGATTCAACTGTTCTAGCATTTCCTCCCTTAAACAATTTTTTTTTATAATTAAGTTCAAGTTTGGATAATTGGGTAGCGATGCATGCATAATGTATCTTATGTATGCGGGTCAATAGTTAAGTAGTGAGATCATGGTTTAGTATATTCATAATAAATTTCAAGAAATAAACTAACTTGAGATTCCCAGTCCATCGAATATATATATATATATTGAAAATATAAGTAATAAATTCGAACCAGGATATTCTCTCTATAATTAACTCCTTACCAATAAAAAAAAAACTCTTAAACAAGGAGTTCTTTTCCCAATGAATTTTCTTCATGATGGAATGAATAAAAATTATAGTTGATCAATGATCTCAATTAATTTGGAAGTTCTTCACAAATTCAAAATCACATAAGGTTAGTCTAGAACATGTGCAAGACTGGATTTTCTCTGAAACATCTGTAACGAAAGAAAAGACAGATTGGTGAGCAAATTACACTAACCACCAGATCATACCAAATGAATCTTATGAAAATATACAAATCCGCTGCAATTAATTAATTAATTATTAATCTGTCGTTAGTTTAGTGGATATACAAATCAGATTGGTAGGGTTGGTCACCCATTTGAGCCCTACTAAGCTCACCATTAATAATCAGTTTAACAACTTACTACTTAATCCAATATGACAATTAATTCTTCTTTATATATATGGATAGTTGCTGCTACTTAATTGTTAGGTTTTGACTTATTAAATTCAGCTATACCATAATTGGTAGTGGGTAATTTTACCTTTATTTTTTACTCATAACAATTTATATGAGTGAATTGAAAACATTAAAAAGTTTTAGTTGACAGGGACTTCTTTATTGAAAAATAATTGAAAACCTATTTGACCAGACCTGTTAGCCAGCCAGCCAGCCAGCTAGCTAGCTAGCTAGCTACCACCCTTGGTCTCATCCCATATATATTCGAGGGACCAAATAAACAGGCCATTAGAGGTCACAAGAGCCGAACCCCACAGCCATTGACCTTTATGAGTTCTTTTTTTTGTATGCCCTTCAGATTAGGACCACAAGAGGACAGTGAAAGGGAGATAGCATGCCTTTGCATAGGACTACTTTGGAAGCTTATCCTGAGGATTGTCATAAAGATTAAAAGAAAGTGTTCGCATTCATTGTGAAACATATTGCTTGCAGGGCCAGCACTTTAAACGATAGCTACAAGGCTCAAATTGGAATAAAACTCATTCGCCTACAGAATTTGATGGCTATTAGTGCACACAAAAAGGTGTTCATTAATTGTTGTCGTTTTAAATGAGATGTTGATTATTTAAAACCCTTAAAATATTCACATATAACATTAATTATTTTAAATCTTTTCCCACACATCCTATATATAAAATTAAAAGATACGGAGAAAATTAGAATAGTCCATGTACTCGCCTTGGTAACCACTCTTCTGAATTTTTATTTTTATTAGCAAAAAATGATATTTAAATGCTAAAATAGGGTAAAGAAATGACATTAATTAAAAAAATTAGTCATGATACACCTATAGTCTTGATAATTAGATTGATGCTGAGTTTAATTGTTTTACTTTTAATGATATTTTGATCATTTTACAATCTACTTAAAATGAAAAAAATTATTTATTTTCAGTAAATTTTATAAAGTCTAATAAACTCTATAAAAAAACTTTAATATCTTTGAAAGCTAATGTTAATTTTTTGGATGGAGGGGCAAAATGATCATTTTTTGATGAATAGAGCTATTAGGTTTGCAGGTATAGTAATTTTTCAAGGACAATTAAGTTTTGTTAATAAGTATAAAATGAACAAACCAAGAAAATTTATACATATATTGAGTTAATTATTCCATTTATGGATAAATAACCATGCAAAAAAGTTAAAATTTCAATACATTCCTTTTTAAGGATTCTATTACAATTAATATTACACCTATAACAACCTTTAAGATATCAATATTACATGATAATAATCCCTGTAGTGATAGCCCCAAATCACAACCTAGCTATAATTTTAGTTGAAGTTTTGGCATTTATAGTAAGATTACAAGAAATTAATTTAAGGAGTCTTTTCACTAATACCATGATTACACAGCATGCAATCCCAACAAGATCACAAGCAATTCAAGCATTTCCATAGGCTACAGTTATAGATTTATAAAGAGATATTGTCTTGCCAGGTTCCAACATATGATAAGTTTATTATCCTCCAAATTAATTACATGATATCATAGTTGTAATGCTAAGTAAATCACAATATCCTGTCATGACTATTATTGTTGCGTATATACATAAATGCATTGTATCAGAATGCATTGGAGATTTAAATATACTTTAAAGGAAACTTAAGGCACAGATGTGTTGTTGGCATTCAAAAAGAATTTATATATCAATGACTTTTGCCGCTCCTAATTGTCCTCTTAGTACCACCACCATGAGAATACCTTTAGAAAAGAAGCCAACTCTTGTTGCAGCCAGCACTAGTCAATTGCAATCAGTGGGGAACCTACAACATGTGTTGTAGGTGCCATGACACCCACAAGCTCAAAACCAAGACTAGTACTGAAACTCTTGTTAGGAGCTATAACACTTTCAATTTCAACTTCTTTTAGAACTGGTTGGATAATGAGCCTTCCCTTATTTTTTATTGCAATTTAGCAATTATCTCCGTTGCATCTTAGTTACCTAGTCTATAAACTTTCAGAGCTTGATATGCTTCCTTTTTAAGTTTCTCATGAAGGTGCTAAAGTTTGTGAATTTCAACGTGAAAAGTCCTGTTAATGATTGCCTCAAAGACTGCCTTAGCATCATTTTTCTGGTTCTATCATAGTTCTATCATAGCATTTTGGCTCCTTGTTATCAAAATATAGCAATGATACATTAAAATAAGAGAGATATTTCTTCATTGATAGACGAGGCAATTCTGATGAGCTTGAAGCCTATTGATCCTCTTAAGGTTTTCTTTACAATTCATCAACCTCAGGTTGGCACCCCCGATCTTCAATTTCTAGATCTGCCACTAACTGCAACAACTCACATTTCAGGACCATCATAGGCATATCAAGATTAATTAGGTCTATGTTATCCTACAATATTTTTGTATGGTTATTGTCTGTAATTTTGTATGGAGACCTTGTGATTTGTTTTGCAAATAATATCTTGTAATGTGTAATTCGTAATAGAATGTTATAAATAACGGTACTATATATATATGAACACAATGTTGATTTATACATTTTGCTCGTGATTATGTTACAAAAGGATTGCTGAATGTTAGTCATGTTTCATCACATGATCAGCTTGTTGACTTGATGATAAAATAAAGCTCATCGATCCTCGATCTCGTTTTGAAATGCTCAGGTCCAGGATCAACATCACCAATGGTGAGACGATCTTGCGGAGGAGTGTTAAGGATTCTCATGCAATTAATATTTACACATACAACAACCTTTAAGCCAGCAAGATCACTGGACAGTCAGCATTAACAACCCTAAATCACAACCTACAGTCACAGCTAAAGTTTTGACATTTACAACAAGATTACAAGCAATTAGTTCAAGGAATCTCAGCATTAACACCATGATTACACAACCTCCAATCCCAACAAGATCATATACAATTCTAGCAATTACATACAATTTCAGATCCAGGAAGAAGCATTGTCACGGCGGGTTCCAGCATATGATAAGCTTATTATCCTTCAAATTAGTTACATGATATCATAATATATATATATATATATATATATATATATATAATAATAATGAGCTCTAGGTGTTTGGTGCAAGTACTGTGTACAGCTCAGACAGAGAGAGGGACTTGTGATGCATTAATGATCCCTCCTGTGGGTGGTTCCTAATTAACCAAGCTCTGATCTAGGTCCATCTTTCCCTTCCACACACCCACCTCTTTCTCTGTCTCTTTCTCTCTAAAATCTCATGAGAGAGAGAGGAGAGAGGAGAGAGGAGAGAGAGGTCCACTTAGCTCTGCAACCTGCACTCCTAGTGTAGTAAAGCAGCAACATTTAACTTGAAGTTCTATCAATACCTTCACTCAGTTCTATGTACAATATCTCACAGAATCTAGAGTTCATAACAACAGTATCTACTACTATTTCATAGTTTCTTGAAAGACAGAGGGAACCCTTCTCATTTTGTGGAGGTTGCAATGGCAGTTCAAAGCAAAACCACCCATCTCTTGATCTTGCCCCTCCTTCTCATATCTTCACTCACCACAGCCCTTCTTGCTTTGACTGAACAGCAAGAACTGGATCGAATCTCGTCTCTCCTTGGACAACCACCAGTCACATTTTCACAGTTTTCTGGCTATGTTACTGTCAATGAGAAACATGGGCGTGCACTCTTTTACTGGTTGACAGAAGCTACAACGACTCCTGACAAGAAACCTCTTGTTCTTTGGCTCAATGGAGGTCAGTTTAGCTAAATTCTTACTATCCCTTGAAAGCACCTTGTATATTTTCTTGGCTATCATCTTGACTTGAACTATTTCATGAATTATACAAAAACAATTAAGCTGTGATCGTAGCTAGGAAATGAGGCAGATAATTTTCATAGGATCAAAACCAGTGGTGATTTTACTGCATTTTTTAAACATTTCGATACGCAAATGCATGGTATGGTTGACTTTAAGGTGAATCCATTGGGCCTTGGATTGGCTTCTTCTTTCCACAAAAGTGATTTCAACAAAAATACAAAAGACGAAAAGAAATCAAAACCATGAAGGTGGCTTCCCTTAATGATCTGTAATTAGAATCAAACATGAAGTTAGTGAATAACTTGATATATATTAGCTGATCACCATTTATAATTTGGTTTGAGCTAAGCAAAGATCATTATTAATTGTTGAAGTTACATTGTATGATGCCCTAATGATAGGCCAAAATATCTGTGCCTCTCAATAAATGAAGGGAACGTGCGTGCCTATTTATGACTTCTATGGAGGCCCAACTCATGTCTTGCCTCCTGTACATGCTCCATTTACAACATAACACACTCTCTGCCTTGGGCTTTAATGCTCTTTCTAATAGGTCAGTACCCTTAAATTCTTGCAGGTGAACAAGGCAGTAAAATCCCAAATTTTCCCACTTTAAAAATTGATAAAGATTATCAAGTCAGAAAGAAAGAAAGTAAAAACAACCAGTTGTCTATTAGGCACAGCAAAAACCCAACAAAATAAGCCACATGAGCTCTCGTGATCTCTCTCTGTCTGCATCTTTTTAGGGTTTTATTCCTCTTAATTCTTCCACAAGTGACGTTTATTCCACCTTTAGAACACCTTAAAAGGGCTAAAATCCATGATTTTTCTAGTCACTTTCTTTTGCTTTTTGTTATTCATAATGTATGCGAAGGAAAAGGCCACAGAAAAAGAGCCAACTTTTTTTTTTCATTTTTGGTAGTGTGGATAGGTGGGGTGTGATAGTTTTTTGTTTTGAATATACAATTTATTTAATGCACAGAACCCATTTATCAAAAATAAATTTTACATGTTTTTTCTTGTTTTCATAAATAGATTTCACAGGAAAAAAAATTAAAAAACTATCACATTCCACCACACAACACCTCCAAACACACGCATAAACTGTCCCTTGGTATCCCAAGGAAAAGGATGCTTCTTTTCTCTTTTGCTCTAGCGTTTCTGTCTGGCTTCTTTGAGTTGACCTAAGAACGAGAAGGAATAAAAAGGAGTGAAAGATAGAAACTTGTGGCAACTATTAGTCTATATAACAGTACTGCTCACTTCATTCCTCGAAGCACGCGCATCCAGATGAAGAAAATGGTCATCATGATGATGATTTTTGGTGACCCAGAAATAGAGGGGGAGTTTGAACATCTTCAGATCAAAACGAAGCGCAAGGAAGAACAATGATAACGTGGGTCACTCGTGTACTGATAATGGAAGACATACGAGAGAACAAAACATAAAATAAAGTAAAAACTAGTACATCTTCTATCAATTGCACAATTAACTAATTACAAACAGTGAAATTTACTTCATAAACAATTTCTCATATAAAAAATGTGGTTGTACTAACTATGAGGGCCCTGTTGCAGATTATTCAAAGTAAATTGAGCTTCGAAGAAAATTATAAATATATTATAATTTTCTGAAATTCTGGAATTATATTAAAAAAATGGAATTTCTCAATTTAAAATCAACACGAAGTAATATTATAATTTTTCTTTGTAAGCTTTACATTGTTTTCAATTAAAAAAAAGACATGAACAATACAAATGTTTTCTTTTATATGCAAAGATTATTTTTGAATTAAAAGTATAACTTTTATATTTAATTTTAGTGAAATATAATTAATATTCTATAATTACGTTATCAAAAACATGAAATATTAAGATCGATGTTATAAAATAAGGTTTTGTTTTTTACAAAAAAAACTATTTATAATTTTGATGTATTTATTATTTTCTGGTGAAAAAGTTCACCTTTCTCTTAATAAATTAACACATTTTCTATTTTTTTATTAAACAATGCAAATTGAAAATTAAAAAAATTAAAAAGAAAAAAGAAAGTTAGTTTTTTCTTAAATTTTTTTTTTTTTGACAAATTTCTTCCACAATTCTGCGTCACGAGACTGAGGCACAACTTCATCACCTTGCTAGACAGGAAGAGAAGCATGGTAAAGTGGAACTGGTCTAGTTAGGCCTAATTTGTTGTATTGTTGTTCCTCTTTCTTCTAGACAATTATTTTTATATTTTTTTTAATTGTTTCATCGTTTTGCTCCATATTGCGCGTAATAAATTTGAGATTGCTTCTGAATATCCTATCAAGCTTAAAATCCCAATCAAGTATTGGCAAAAATAATTAATCACACTGGTGTAAGATTTAATCACGTGTGTGTGTGAGAGTGCAGGACCAGGTTGTTCATCGGTGGCATATGGAGCATCAGAAGAAATAGGGCCATTTCGGATAAATAGAACTGGTTCATCTCTTTATATGAACAAATATTCTTGGAATAGAGGTAATAAAGATAAAAATAAAAACTATCACGCAATAATTTATTTATTTTTCCCTTCTTAGAGAAAACAACTTCTTACGTACCTACATTGTTTACTTTGTTAAATTTTTCTAATGCTGAGATTATATCTTCTTTGTATGCTCACATACAGAAGCAAATATTTTGTTCCTGGAATCACCAGCTGGTGTGGGATTCTCATACACAAACACAAGCTCTAATCTTAAAGATTCTGGAGACAAAAGGACAGGTTTATATATATATATATATATTTGTATCATCTAACAATTACATTCATGCCATTGATGATCATGCTTGTGTAATGATAAGATATCCTCTTTCGTGAAACAGCTCAGGATGCTCTAGTTTTTGTCATTAGGTGGATGTCAAGATTTCCTCAATACAAATATAGAGAGTTCTACATTGCTGGTGAAAGTTATGCAGGTATTTAAGCAGCAATATATTAAAGAAAATAAGTAGTAAATGGGTAGTTCTTATGGATATGGGGATGATATGATCTTATTTTCATGTACTTATTAGGGCATTATGTCCCCCAGTTGGCAAAGAAAATCCATGATTACAATAAAGCGTATCCACGTCCCTTCATCAATCTTAAAGGATTCATTGTGAGTAAAATATATTTGCACCTTTGAGAAATATTGCGAGATACTAATTAAGCTGATATTTAAGATTCAAGAAGATATTAAGTTTCAAGTGAAATATTTTTACAGGTAGGAAATGCAGTCACAGATAGCTACTATGATAGCATTGGAACTATTGCATTTTGGTGGACACATTCAATGATATCGGATCAGACTTACCGAGCAATTCTTGATAATTGCAATTTCACAGATGACACGACCTCTAAAAAATGTGATGATGCTGTGAATTATGCAATATACCATGAATTTGGGAATATTGATCCATACAGCATTTATACACCATCTTGCGTGCAACTTCCAAATAGTACTATGAGGCTGAAGAATACTCTGTTCCGTAGAAGGGTTTCTGGTTATGATCCATGTACTGAGAATTATGCAGAGAAATACTATAATCGACCTGAAGTGCAAGAGGCAATGCATGCTAATGTTACCGGAATTCCTTACAAATGGACTGCTTGCAGGTAATATCCTACATCTAAAAGAAGGCAAGACGTGATGCTTTCCTTCTTCTTTGATCTGATAGTGTGATGATATTTGTTATTTGGCAGTAATGTGCTGAATAGAAACTGGAAGGATTCTGAATCATCCATGTTACCCATATACAAGGAGCTGATTGCGGCTGGTTTAAGAATCTGGGTTTTCAGGTAATTTTCTTATGCGTTCACGTTGACAAATCTCAGATCATTGGTTAATTATGTTGTTAATAATCACTGTTAAACAGAAATATAAGCAGGTGTTCCGGAGGGGAAAGGTGTCAAATCACATAAATAACTATTGACCGGTCCTCTAATTTCTTTGACTGCAACCTCTGTTACAGTAAAAGACAGAGTGCTATGCCATAGAGAGGCTGAGTGTTTGACTGTCCATGCGGGAGCTTATGCTTGGTTGTTTGACTGCATTTGATTATGAGATTTTTTACCATAATTGTTTCTCACAGACACTGGAAAAGGCACAGTTTAGAGCGAGTCGCATGTGTTAGTTACTCTCTCGATCTTTACGCAAATTACAGTAAAAAGAGGAGAGAAAAAAATAAAAAATAAAAAAATCTCGGAGAAAGTAAAATTTTCAATATCGACACATTACTGTTGTCATGGTGATATCGACAAAACAATTTCAATAACACCAATGTTACTAACGGTAATCATAGTAGGTGAAATGACTCATCAAAGGTGATAGATAGCTTTTGTGTTGTTGAGCAGCACGTGTAGCGAGCTTTTAAAAAAAAAATTTCTTTTTTTTTCATAAATTATAGTTAAAAAATAAAGAGAAACCAAAAAAGAATCAGAGATAATGATATTATTAAAAAAATTTAAAGAAATAATTTGTCTCCCTTTTTTTTAATTTTATCTCTCCTTACCTTTTCTTTTAATTTGTCTCCCTTTATTTATTTTATTGTAATTTGTGTAAAACCATTTGAGAATAGCTAGAGCCATATATAATTAGTGCAGATGTTATATATAACTTTTTAAATTGTGTTATTTTCTAAACATTTTCTAGATTATGATATTTTTCCAAAAAAATTATACGAAATTCAAAAAAAAAAAATATGTTACTAACGGTAATCATAGTAGGTGAACTGACTCATCAAAGGTGATAGATAGCTTGTGTGTTGTTGAGCGGCACGTGTAGCGAGCTTTTTAAAAAAAAAAAATTCTTTTTTTTTCATAAATTATAGTTAAAAAATAAAGAGAAAAACCAAAAAAGAATCAGAGATAATGATATTATTAAAAAAATTTAAAGAAATAATTTGTCTCTCTTTTTTTTAATTTTATCTCTCCTTACCTTTTCTTTTAATTTGTCTCCCTTTATTTATTTTATTGTAATTTGTGTAAAACCATTTGAGAATAGCTAGAGCCATATATAATTAGTGCAGATGTTATATATAACTTTTTAAATTGTGTTATTTTCTAAACATTTTCTAGATTATGATATTTTTCCAAACAAATTATACGAAATTCAAAAAAAAAAAATAACACCATTCAATTGCCATGTTAGTGTGATAGGGTTCCAGCTTTAGAAGTCATCATTCATTCACCATCATGCATTTAATGCATGATTCATTTGAAAACCCCTTTTTTGAAAAATAACCGAAGTAACTTTAATGACTTTTGTTTTTCTTTTGATGCAGCGGTGACACAGATTCAGTGGTTCCGGTGACTGCCACTAGGTTTTTCCTTAGTCACCTCGATCTCCCTGTTAAAACCAGGTGGTACCCTTGGTACTCAGGCGACCAGGTAAAGCGCAATGTGTTTCAGCATGGTTTTTAACTGTTCTTCAAGTTATATTTCAATGTGTTTCAGCTTGAAAAAAAACTAACAGTTTAACCTATGATATAGGTTGGAGGATGGACAGAAGTTTACAAGGGGCTGACCTTTGCAACTGTGAGAGGAGCAGGCCATGAAGTTCCATTGTTTCAACCAGAAAGAGCTTTCATTCTTTTCAGATCATTCTTGGGTGGGAAAGAACTACCCAAATCTTGACAAAAACTGGGACAATGGCTTGAGGGAGAGTAATTGATATGTGGAGCAATCCATAAATCAGTAGAAACCCCATACCAATTATGGGTGACGCAGCTTGGGTAGGGTCATCCATTCAGAGAAGACAATATATTTTAAGGCAACATGTTCTAATCTGTTTCATATACGGATTCTAATTGTCATTCCAGATGGTGTCACTGAATCTAAGGCAACATGTTCTAATCTGTTTCATAGACGGATTCTAATTGTCATTCCAGATGCCAAACCATCTACAAAATCTTCTGTGCAAGCAGAGGAATTTGAAGGTTTTCTGAGAAACAAAATTGCCTATCAGGAACACTAATGCTGACGGCAGCCAAAAATGTCAGTTGACGAAAGATTTTAGCATTCATGCTACCAAATACATGATACTTCAGGCTTTTCTACCAGGTTAATGCACATCCCTTCCCAGACAAGCATCTACTTCATGAATGGCCCAAATGGAAATTTCACAGGTTCTAGCCAATATTGACAAGATAACTTTGAAAGGGAAAATTTCTCAGTGTAAAATAATACAACACTCACAAAAAAAGAATGAGAAAATGCATTAAAAATATTTGGTAACTCCTACTAAAGTCCTAAAAGAAAAGATGGAGAAGCAGAGTTTTACCAAAATGCATCATTACTGCACTGCCTCCATTCATGATGCTATGCTCTTTCCTTTGAGGGATGAAGTAGAATTTGATTGACTAGTTGATTTAGTTTAACCACCAATTATTATTGAATGTTATAACAACAAAGATCACAAATTTCAAAATACTCTTTCTTTTGAATCTAAGCAGTTAATATGATAAACAGATAATAAATTTCCAGTCATGGTACCGAAAGCACTTCTAACCAGTCCAGTTACAAAATTGATGCACGTGTTGGACACCATCATGAGAGGAATGCACCTTCACTTTAACCCCTCACCGAGTCCTGGTGGCATTCCTAGGCTTTGGGCAAGGTCGTTCATCCTTTCTTTCATGGCCTAAGAAAGTTACGAGGTCCAGATCTTAGCTCAACAATAAAAAATGGAAGGGGGTTTTCACTGCTAAAAGAAGCAAAGGTTCTACCTGGACACTCTTTTGGTGAGCATCCTTGTATGCCTCGGTAACTAAAAGTGAAAGTTTCTGCATATAACCATAAACAATTGAATCATACAATGAGAACAGATACACTCCTTAACTTCATTAAGAAGGAAATGATAAAATAATTATGAAAGATATCATCATTCTGTGATTTAGCAAAAGAAAATATAAAATCAATCAACTGTACTCACTTCTGGACCTAATTCCATTGCAGCTTCAGTTATTTCTGTCCGTACAGGTTGCTGGTTGCCAGTTAGTGTTACCTAGATCACAGTTCAAAACTTCCATGAAAACCAATGGAGGTGCAGTTAATGCTTAAAATATTGACAGTTATGTAGCCTTCACTCCAGCCATTAAAACACAATCGTAGGCTTTCTCAAAAGCAACAACATGGAAAGATCACTCCTGAGATAAGAGCAACAATCATACAACACCACATTCGGCTGTTCCTGTATCTGGCACATGTAGAATAACTACCTTTTGTTCTCATTGAACTACATTTCTTTGTATACTTGACATTTTATGAGATGAATCACCCAAAGGGGACCACATCGTGCTTTTAAATCTCTTCATCCCACCATAACTAAAATAGTTAGACCACACACACACACATGCTTCAGACATGTGCATAGAGAGAATAGCATACCTTGATTAGCTCACCTTCACAGTAACCATCAAACTCTGCTCTGCAAACAATAAAACAAAAGGAAGTTAATTGAGGATTCACAAAGGCATCAAAATTAAAGATTCAGATAAGATTGATTTAATATGTAATCCATACGAAGCAAGTTCTTTCTGCACCCGAACTGCCTCAACTTGGACAACCATTTGTGCCTTTTTTACAGTCTCGTATAAGTTCTGCATGTTTCCAAATATTCCTGCCTAAAAGCCAAACAGAGAACTGGTGTCAAAGAGAAGGATCACAGTCTATCTTTCCAAGCCAAAAATATCACAATAGGAAAGGTTGTTCTTGCCAAGAAAGTAGCATCGGCAATTTCACATAGCACTTTTGATTGAAAAATCAATATGATTTATTTTCCCTTTTTCTTCCTGTTTTGATATTTGTTCTCAGAAGTCTTCATTTCCTATCCCCCAAAAACAAAAACAAAAACAACTCGGAACCTAATGAGAAGAGAGTTCAGTATAAAAACTTGTCATCTATTTTAAGGAAATGTTTGTAATAGTGAACGCACAATAATACGAGGCCATATTCATAATCCAATCTGGATAATTAGATCTTATATGTGGATTTATTTATATTTATTCTTGCAATTTGGTTTGTAAAAAATTAAAAATTAAAAAAAAAAGAATTTTTTGATTTGTTTCCTAAAATTAGTGTGCAAGTTGAGCAGAAGAGTTTGATTACTAAATGCAAAAATTTCTTACAAGGCACTGCTATAGAATCGTTCAAGATTTTTTTCTGATTTGTTGCTTTTAAAAAGATAATTGAAGACCTAGATGATGACTGAGCACAGATGCCAAGATGCAAACTCCAAATTGCCTCAGGTCAAGAAAAAAACTCCTCAAGGAAGACAGAATTGCAATCCCTCACAGAAACACCATGTATCTATTATATCATCCTGCATATTATGTGTCAAAATAATGTCTTAAATTTTATGCCGATAATGGCAAGATTCTCACAAAATGATACCATTGTACACTTGCTTTAAGATCTTTATGCAGATAAAAAGATAGCTCTCTTATATGATCGGTAGTTTGGCCAAATTCTCACCTTCTCAGCTATTAGAACCAATTAACAAGCTCCCAGATATTTCTGATGGAGAACCACCGTCAACATAAAGGATATGTGTAACACAGTACAGTATAATGTTAACTCGTCTTCTCAAACACAGTATGGGTGGGCCACAAAAGAACTTAGCATTAGCACACAAGCTTTCCTTTACACATTATAATTATTTTTATATACCATCCCTAGACTTCAACAAATAAAATGTTAAACCTAGAGAACTGTAATAAAAAACAATAAGAATTATTATTTTTTTCTTTTTTGATTTAAAAATAGGGAAATATTAGAGTATAAATAAAGAGAAAATATCATCTCCATAATCACAATGTAGGCACAGCAAACTCAGTCAGATTGGGGCAATTATCATCTAATTATATAGAAGACACTTAAGTTCAACACGACGCAGACTAGAAGAAGAAGGTTCACAGGTTACCTTTGAAGGTGCATCATCGCTCTTCTCGCTATTCTCCTTTTTCCCTCCAAATAAACCAATCACACGGAAAGATCTGTAATTTCGCTCAGATTTCCACTTGCCAGACCAAGACAACAGCTGCTTGCCAACAACATTTGCATTTAAATTCAGGTTTCCTGAAAGCAGTGGTAGAAGACAGTCAGAAGAAATTCAACATTAGATATAAAGAATGGACGAGCATTCAGCCAAACATTCACACAGAAACCAGAATATGCCAAGTAAAAGGGACATAATTTTGAAAGGATGGTCTCCAAACCATAATGTCTTCCTGCAACTTCAATCCACAAGGCAGAACATGCTATTAAGCACAGAAGCAAGCATAAACAATCAATTAGTTACTAACCACCTAGATAAGAAAATTTGAACAATCTTAACACTTCAAATGACATGATGGCTTAATAAGTTGTTGATAGTAATTTTAATTATATTCCAAAATCACCAATAGGCAACAACATTCCCAATACAACATGTCTAGACAGCCATAAAATATGATAAATGATACACTTAAGACCTTTTTTTCTTTTTAGTTTCTCCGTGAGAAACATAGTATTAAAGACAGAGGCAGGAGAGAGTCCAATGGGGATGTATACTTGAGAAGCACTTAAACATAATGACATAAACGAAAAGAACTAGATAGTAAACTCCTTTAAGAGCCAACTTCTACAATCATAAGCAGGTAACTCATAGTTCAAAAGGTCCATATAATTTTTACAACGAAAATTTCCATAACTATGCGATTATTTATCAAATGAACTTGAAAGCCAAACAGGAGGGGGAAAAGAGTAAACCCACATATTTGATGATTAGCACAAGCATAAGCAGAAGAAATGCAAACAAAGAAAGTTTTGAAAGGAAACAAACTAACATGGATCTTTGGTTCCCGAAAAGCAACAGGCATAATAAGAAAATACTAGCAGAGTTTGATCCGTAACTCTCTGTAAAAAAAGAAATTGGTGAAGAAACCAAGACACTTGATGGCTTAAACAATAATGATAAATTAAACAAGTCCCTTTTTCATTTCCTTTTTCCTTTTCTTATCCTTCTCTTCTGGATTATTCTGTTTCCTCTCAATCTTATTTAACAACAGCTTGAACGGCTATTTCATATCATATCCGTAACCAAATCTCAACTAATAGACAGATATATTGAGTTACTTCCACCAGGTACAAATACATTTGCCTAATCATAGATTAAATCTTTTATTAAAGTCAATTTCTGCGACAAAAAAAAAGTAAATAAAAATAAAAACCTCGTTTATCTGTTATAAGGGTTAGCTTTATCATCCCACAGCAACAACAACAACAAAATAGCATCTCAAAAGCCACCTTTCTATAAAGTAAAAACGAGGGCATGAACCTTAACATGGACAAAGAGTAGCCACTCTAAAAATCCATTATAGAATTATCCAACTCTGATTCAATGCCCCATTCTTTGAACTAATTCAATCACTTCAACAATTGCAATTAAAATTGACAAAATAACATCAACATTTAAAGTCAATAACACTTAAAATTTGACATTTTTGTCATAAATACCAAAACCCTAAATTAACAAAAATAATAATAAGCTAATGAACAGTCACTTAGTGGAAACTAAAGAGAGGAAGGTCCAAGCTTTTCTCTTAAAAATACTCCATTTGTTATTCAGCAACCAAACAATGGGAAATTGAAGACAGAGAGAGGAAGTGAAGTTACCTAAAGGAAGTGAAGCAGGGAAAGGCCTTTTCCAGTCGCATAGCCCGTTAAGGTTTGTGACCTGAGCAGTTACAGCAGTCGTCGAAGCCATCTTTACAGAGAGAGAGAGAGAGAGAGAGAGAGGTTTTGAGAGGATTGGGGTGGGGGGTCTGAGTTCTGATATTTTTTTGATGTTCTTCCCAGGATTTGCTTTGCCATGGATGTTATCTTACCTGTTGGTCATGTATCATTGGACACAACCAATGATCAGAGGACACGCCTCCCATTCATTTCCATTTCGAGTTTTGAATGTACCTAAAAAAATATCCAGTTTAGTTGAATGACCCTTGTTTCTTAAAACTCAGGGGTCGTAGTCATCAATTACTTCGAATTTAGAGTTATTCTATTTTTATGTTTTAAAAGTATTTAAAAATGTAATTTTTTTAAATTAATTTTTTAATGTTTTTAAATTATTTTAATGTATTAATATTAAAAATAAATTAAAAATTTATTTTAATATATTTTCAAATAAAAAATACATTAAAAATTAATTATTATTACAATACTAAACAAGTTTTAAAAAAAATCAACATAATCAGCTTTTATAAAAATTGAATTGAATGATCAATTCAAATCAAATAGTTTGGTAGATTTTTTATTTAAAATAAATCTAAGTTATTTCATAGATGCTTTAGTTGGGTTTTTTTTGACAGGTTTTAATGTAATGTTTTGGGCTTTTTTAGTTTTTTATTTAGAAAAAATTAAATTGGTTTGATTTTTTTGATTTTTCAAATTTGAAATCTGTCACAATGAAATCTTAGTCAACAAAAGAGAAAAAAAATTGTCATCTAATTTTATAATAATTTAATTATAATTGATTTTCAAATATTATAAATAAAAAACTGGAAATATAATAAAAAAGATAAAAGAATTGGCATATGTATCAATTGATTTTCAAATATTATAAATAAAAAAGATAAAAGAATTGGCATATATATTATACTAAGATAAATTATATTATTATTTATTAGAAAAACAAAGAGTGTTGGATATACACTAAAGTGACATGATTTGTTTTAAAATTTAAACTAAGATAGTAATTTTGGCTTTAGACCTCATAACAATCTAATCCTTATTTTAATAATAGTTAGGTGTTGAATCATCAAAAATGGTTAGTTATTAGTAAATATTGAACCCACATAAATTATACAAATTAAAATAGTTTTTAAAATCATTACTCATTCTTAATAGTCTCATGCTAGAACACGTTGATCCAACCTAACTTACTTACAACTTCAAAAAAATATTTTAAAAATAATATATATCAATATAATTATAAACATGTAACATCCTGAACTTTTCTATGCAATTCTTCACTTTTTCAATAAACATGTATATGTAAAATAGAGTTTTTTTCCCTCAAACATACCATTCAACTCACAATCATCTATTATATTCATTCTCCATATATTAGCACTATTATAGATTATATTGTTTTACAAGATGAAGATAATTAAGTTTACACACATGAAATAAAACTCGAAATACCTAACAAAGAGTTTTTGAGCCACGTAGTTTACCTATATTAGGTAGAATTTTATAAAGTTTGACTTACATTATATATAAATAAAGCTTTTTAAATGTAGTTATGTTGATTTTTAAATGTACTATAACAAAAACATAAAGGGATTATTTTATATCAGTGAGTGTTTAATAATATGTAAAAAAATATTATAATATCATTACATAGTATGTATATATTCACTAATTTAAATACTGGATGGTTAATATTCAAGAATAAAAGATGAAAATGGATCCTCTAATTATAAATTAAATTCTTAAAATAAGTGACAATTCAAACATTATATACAAAATAGAACACACAGTAAATGCAAAAAAAAAATACACCATCCAATTCTTATATCTAACTGACAATTAACATTCAATGATAAGAGCCAAAAATAGATTATTTAATCTTATATTGAGTTCTCAAATAAAAGATAACTTATGCATCACATGTAAATATAAAGTACATGATGGTTGACAAAAATGTATATTTATCAATTTAAATACTTGATAGTCAACATTTAATAAACAAAAATGTATATTTATCAATTTAAATATTTGATAGTCAACATTTAATGATATGAGTCAATAATAGGTCATCTAATCCTGAATTGAGTTTTTGAATAAAATATAGTTTTATACTCACATTATAGACAAAAACAACATGGAAATAATAGAATAAAATACATAAACAAGTACTAATCAATTTTATCACTAGATAGTTAACATCCAATTATAGGAGCTGATAATGGATCATCTTATTCTAAATTGAGTTGTCGAATAAAGAATAAATATAATTATGTATGTATCAAATTTCTAAAACAAGGCATACTCGAATAATCCAAATTTGAACTTAATCCTCCCAAACTCGTCGCAGGATATTAATATTCATCTTTATTTCACCTCAATAAATAAATCTTTAATGGCTTTATAATATGTGTCAAAATAGAAATTATTCTTGACACAAATAAATATATGTCAAAATAGTCCACGCATTATTATTATTTAAGTCTTTAGTAACAAGTTTTACTTTATATTTGTCAATGGTTCCAATAGTTTTCATCTTTCTTTTAAAGATTAACTTACTGTCTAATGATTTATTTATAAGTGAAAGATTCACTAGTTCTTATATATAATTATTTATAATAGATTTAATTTCATTAATGATTTTTTTCTTTTGATAAAAAGCTTCAAAAAAAAAACATTACCTCAGGCTCAATTTATAACAAATATGTTAAAAAGTTTAAACTAATTGTTTTGGTCTTGTTTGCCTTTTACTCCTTTGAGGCTCAACTTCATCATATTTTGATTGATAATGATTACTTGAACTAGCCTTATTTATTTTTTTAAATGAACAATTTACTAATGCTTATTTAAATGGAAACACATCTTCAAAGAATATAGCATCAATTGATTCCATTATAGTATTTGGATGGATATTTTGAATATTTGACTTATGTAGAAGAAATTAATATGTACTACTATTATAAGCATATCTAATAAATATACAACCTATAATTATAAGTTCTATCTTGAAATTTTAGGATTAGGCACTACCTTTTTTTGAAAATAACCTTATACTTAGAGGTAAATATATAAAGGTCTTATACCTTTCATAATTCATATGGTGTCTTCACTAACTTTTTGTATGGTACTTTATTAAGTATATAATTTACAATTAGGATTGTTTTCTTTTACAAGTTTTAAGGTACTCTCAAACTTGTCAACATAACATTCGTCATTTCTTTTAAATTTGATTCTAATGTTCTATGTTGCCATTCTATTAAGGTGAACAAAGAGTGATAGTTAGGTGGATAATACATTTTTAGGAACAGAATTCACCAAATGGTGATTCATACTCTCTTTGTTATCATTTCTTATTACCTTTATTTCCTTATCAGGTTAATTTTCAACTTTATTCTTATTAGCAATATGAAGCACATTGTTGAAAGTCAGAAGTTTTTCATAAGTCATCTTTGTTGTGAATCACCAACACTCAGTACCTTGAAGGTTGATGAATGTCTCATGTATAAATATTTATCATCCATTTATTTATAAGTGGAGAACATCATTTTCTCAATGCATACATATCATGTTATACTTGTATCAATCCATCATTTCTCAAGATTTTTTATCATGTTAATTTAAAAAAAAAAAAAGATATGTTCATTTATGAACTTTCATCAGTAAGATTAACCTTAACTTCAACAATCATTATCTATTTTGGGTTACTTTGTTGAGCTCTATTTTTGCAACCCTTAACTATGCAACCTATTTTGTTGCAAATAAAATAATTATCATTAAAATTTTTATTAATTCTTTTCATTTTCTCATCAACCTTTTCCTTTTGATCTTTATTGTGGAACTTCAAATATTTATTACATAAGGTTTGCTTTAAGTGTTATGCCATAAGATTTATCTTCTATTTTAGATAATTTATTGTCCTCTTTTATCTTTAGTCTTAAAAAAGTCTTCAACTCTCATGTCCTTGCTTTTATACTTAAAATAATTATTTAATTCTTTCTAAAATTATGGTAATTATTTAATAATTGCAACCATTAGAATTATTCACTTGTAACTATATCTTTAATGTAAATAACATGTAAGGTGAGTTAAAACTCTTAAACTTGACTTATAAAGATTATTGAGTCAATCATCCGAAAATCTAAAAATTTACCAACTATAGACTTTTTCATGCCAACAACTTCAACCTTGAACTTTATATTTAAAGCTTTCCGATGCACATTTACATTATTGATTGAACTATACACAACATACTATGTATTGTTCAATATATTTAAGATATTTTTTCACATAAAATTATTATGATTTCATATATCCAAAGCTATCACAATAATGGAATTCAATTCATTATTTGATAACTTTGACACCTTTTTTTGATAAAAACTTTTTCAAGTTCAAGGTAGTCAAATAGAAAAACATGTTATATTGCCACTTCTTAAAATTTAATCCATTAAACTTTTTAAGTTTCTTATTGTGCATTATAATAGGTGATGGTGGAGTCCTTGCAACCAAGGTAGTACTTGTCAAAGAAAAATTAGTTGGAACAATCAATTCTTGAGTTGAAGGCATTATAAAATATTTTTTGTAAAATAATAGCCAAAATATATATAATGAACTTGGCTTCTCAACAAATAGAAAATATTAATATAGCACAATAGTCAAAATTATAATTAGCTTCTTTAACAATTATTAAAAAAAAATGTAAACCAAAACCAAAATTTTAACAAACCAAAGTTTGATTAAAAAAAATCATGAGAACAAATAAATTTTTTTCTCAACTAGGAGAGATTATATTAAAATGTGATCTTAATGACATGTTTGCTTAAATAAATTAAAAAATTAGCATACCTTGCTTGATTGCAAATTTACCTTGTTATAATTGCTATATCAAACTAAGCAAATAACTAACTGATATTATATGGTAGATGATTAGTACTTAAAAGTGCATTTTTATCATGCTTTTATATCATCATTTTGCACTTGAAGTATCAATAACTCCTTAACTAAAATATGTTTTATAATAATATATCTTATAATATAAGATACCTTTAATTTGTGGTAAATGTTCATTTTAAATGCAGGTCTATCACATAAATGAAAGGATTGATTGATGACATTAAGAACTTAAATTGCAAGGGCAAAGAGATGACCAAAATTATAAAAGTGATGTCGGTGCAATCCAAACTGGAACACTGTTCGGTAATTGGGTCATATCTGGAGCTATAGATCTCAGATTTAGGTCTACTTTATATGGATAGAAAGGTAAGACATAGGCCTACAACGTT